GCTTCAATAAGCAAACTAAATTTCACTAAATCTTGATTAGAAAGCATAACACCATTATAGAACAACATGTGACAATCGAGTGAAAACATGTTAAAATTGCCAGTAAGCAAGCAGAAAAGAGTGATATTTTTATACATGCATCTCAAGTTTAAGAACATAAATGAGCCTAAATACAGAGGATGGCTGACATATTTTGACAGTCTTAGCTATCATCACAGTGTCACATTATACATTTCACAGTGCTCYCTACCATAAACTGCAAGCTGCTTTCAATTATGCATGATGGACTTAAAAAAAGATGCCAATGAATAAGGGAAGATAACATTCTAAACATTAAGACAAGCTCTTCTTAAATTACAATTTTAAACATACTAATATGGCTTATAACCTTAGACATCCTGCCATGGTTTAAAAATTTGGTGTCATTATCATTCTTCAGCATCTAGGTGTACACCTRACCTGTATCATCATCTGTATTACACATATCTGTGGACCAGAGACATGACATGTGCTTGCAGAGCTCTAGGCAGGGGAACAGATTCTTGAAAGGTGTCTAAATGTTAGTGGAATCTTTAGCTCACATATAGCTTTCACCATCTCAGGTTAATATTTATAAGCACAATATGTGGAAAACAAAAATTCTGAAACTACAGACTTCCTGTTAATACAGATTTTCTATCCAAACCATCTTCCTGTTCTTAATAATCATCAGCTCAGGACTGAAAGTTTAATCTAAAAACTCCACAAATTAATTGATACCTAGAGGTACTGGTAAGGCACCGATAAATTTAAAAATCTGTGCCAATATAATACAAATGCTGCATCTAAGGATTCAACCAACAGCAGATGAAAAATGGCATTTGAACTGAGTGTGTACTGACTTTTTTCTTGTTGTTATTCCTTAAACAATACAGTCTAACAACCATTTACATTGTATTAGATAAAAATAATCTAGAGATGACTTGGATAGGTGAGCACAGTGATGCTTGCCTGTAATGCCAGCCTCAGGCTGAGGCAGGAGAATCACCTGAGGATATACTACTCCATTTTATATAAGGGACTTGAACATTCTCAGATTTTGGTATTCACAAGGGATCTTTGAACTAATCCCCCAAGGGATGACTGAGGGATGACTGTGTATACCAGAAATCAGCCAGGCATGGTAGCGGGCMCCTGTAGTCCCAGCAGCTTGGGAGGCTAAGGCAGGAGGATYGGGAGTTCAAACCCAGCCTCAGCAAAAGCAAGACACTAGACAACTCAGTGAGATCCTGTCTCTAAATGAAATAAAAAATAGGACTGGGGATGTGGCTCAGTGGTTGAGTGCCCCTGAATGAAATCCCTGGTAACACCGACCCCCCCAAAAAAAAGAAGTCAGCAAAGTATAATTTTTTTCCAATGGTATCATTCCAACAAACCTTGGAGTTTGTTGCCAAAAAGTTACTTACACAAAACTTTAGTATGTAAAATCATGTCATCAGAAAAAGAAACATACTAAGTATTCTCCAATATTATAGAATTAGGTGGGTTATCCCAAGCCAGATCTACTGTTTCTGCTAAGTGATATTGTTTGTATCACCTAAAATCCATGTGTTGAAATTCTAACCCTCAAAATGATGGTCTTTGAGGGATAATTAGGCTGTGAGGGTGAAGCCCTTTGAATGGGATTAGTGCCGTTAGAAGAAGAAACATGGCGCTTCCCCTCTGCTTTCTGCCCTGTGAGAATATAATCAGACAGCAGGCCTGTACCTGGACACTGGACTCACCAGTACCTTGAGATTAAACTTCCCAACCCCCAGAATTATGAGAAATGTTTGTTTAAACTACCAAGTCAATGGCAATTTGTTATAATAGCCTAAACTAAAACAGATAAATATATCAACCAAAGAAAATATGTATTTCAAACCTTATGATTATCATACCTTATGATTTAGTATAACTCCTGAGGCCTTCCTGTGATTACTCTGATTGAACTTAAGCTGAGATGGACTGGGGATGTGGCTCAGAGGTAGAGCATTTGCCTAGCATGCAAGAGGCCCTGGGTTAGACCCCCAGCACCACAAAAGAAAAAAAAAAAAAAAAAGGTAAGTTGAGTCTAGTATGGAATTCCCTTGGATATATGTATGTAGAGAAGCTGGCTATAGCATACACAAATTATTTTTGTGACAATAGTGTCCAGAAAATTATCCGTTCAAGTCTCAAAAATAAATGCTTTTACAAAACAGAGGTTGCCCAAGTCAGTCRAGGAAAAAAAGATATCCAAGAATTAAGTTTTGATATCCCAAAAGAACATGACAACTTCTTTACCTTCAAGCAGGTAATTTAAACTATTCTCCAACCTTCTTTGGCCTCTGATAAAGGATTTATCTTGTACGAAATTCCTTACCTTTCATCTTCAGTCTCAGAAATGAGAAGTTGATGATGAATACACRTACATACATATGTATGCATGCACACACAGTTCCTCTTAACTGGGGGTTAATTATTTAAAACAGAGGTATCAAGATGTGAAATTAAAAGGCAAACACAACTGAAACAGAGAGAATATAAGAACCAGAAGAGGCTCTTTAACCTGTCCTCCCCACAAACTGTGGGAGAATTTTGGGACCATGATTAGGGAACAATAAGATACATTTCATCCATCTAGCATTTTTTTGAGAAGTGTTTAAGGGTTCCTAAACATAAAGAAGAATATTTAGCAACTAATATATAATACTTCATTTGGACTTTTATGTCTATATGTGTAAAGTGATTATAGTTCAACAGATGTGTTTACTTCTACAGTAWAATAATTATGATCACTAAAAGATTTACTCTCCAATAGAATTCATAGTAATTGAGAAGGCTGATAAGGGAGGCTTGGCTTGTATATAGTAACACGGGCCTTCATAAAGAATTAGAACACAATTCCTCATTTCATAAATGTCAAAAAACTCTTTGAAGGCAAAAAGGGACCTTATGAGGAGGCTTTAAGAAACCAGAAAATATAATATAAGAGTAAAACATAACTAAAACCATGTTGAAATCCAAAAGAAGTGTTATACAATCTAACCTTTTCACCCCAAATCAGTTCCACCTTTTTCTTGCCACTCCAACATTGATGAAATGTAGAGTATTTGAAATTTACTCTGGAGACACACCAAGGGACTCCAAAAGGCCATGGAGGGAATTTCAACTAAAATTCAAAAGCCATACAGAGGTCTGTGGAAAAAAAGAAAAAAAAAAAAAAAAAAAAAGCACACCACAAATCAAAATCTTATTAGCATCTACAGGTTTAATAAACTAATTAAGAAACTTGTGCCAATCTTACCATTAGCTGAACACAGAATGAAAGTGACAATCTAAGAACAAACCAACAGTCTCACTTCTGCAAAACCACCATAGAATCACCAAAGAATAACATGCAATATGTGACTACTGTCTACTCTTCACACGCACTGGTGACTTCTCAAGATTTTAGTTCTGGGAAATTTGTAAATGTTTTTCTAAATTTATGATATTAATTTCATTTGTTCACAGTATACTTGTACAAGGGTCAGGCTTAGTCCTGGGGAATAGCTGTAGTTGCCCAACAACAATGTATTAGCCCTATATTAGGGAAATATTTGTAGGAAAGGGTGTAAAGAAACACAAATAAAAACAACACAGAACTACCATACACCCAACAAAAGAACATCTAATTCCATTCGATCCTCATCTTCATTATCCTCTCTATACCAATACAAAATAATTAGGTTTTTCTGGGAAACACTCGGACCACGGGGGGGGGGGGAGAACACCAAATATCTCAATTCACTCTAAGGAACTCCCAAGAATATAATAATCTCTGGCTGTTTTGTTTTTTTTTTTCAAAAACAGATATAAATCAAAATCGACGGAACTCTTAATTTAATTGTTAGTCCAGGTGTTTAAAACATTGTTTTGAATTAATTTTGCTTCTTCTAAACTTTATTTCCTGATATCTCACAATCCGAGATGTCTTCATGACTTCTCCGGGCGGTCACTCCTCTTTCGGGTTCCCATCACTTTACCGGGTCACTAAAAGGGCCACGTGGTTACTGGCAGCTAGAACCGACTAAACTTCAGACCCACGGTTATGGAACACTTACTAGATGCAGTTCATCAGAGACCTACACCCGGAACGAACCTGAATAGCTCCTCCGGAAAGCTCACAAGTTCCCCAAATTAGAGTGCACGTGCAGCAGAAACGGATCCCGGCAGGGCCGCGAAATAAAGGACGGAGGTTTTAAATGTCCTCCCCGAAACAGCAGCCCCGAACCGGCGTGGGACTGTATCCTCGCCAGGATTCGGAAGGACATCCTCACCAGGGTTCGAAACACCTAGGAGACCCGCGCCGGGGCTGACCCCGGCCCCTGGAACCCGGTGAAGACGCAAACCGCCGGGCGCCCCCAGCGCAGCCACCTGTCAGAGCCCGGAGCAGCCTCCGCACCCCGGAGCCTCCGCACTCCGGCCCGACGGCGCCCACGCCCAGGCACCACTCCCCCGGGGCTCCGGCGGCCCACACGGCCGCCGCACGCGCTCGGGCCAGGAAGGACCCGGCTCCTGACCTGTCCACCGACGGGCCACGCACGACCCTCCGCTGGGGGCGAGGCTCGGGCCGGGTCAGCCGGCCCGCGGTGAACCCGGCTGTCCTCTTCTGCCCCTCTTTCTATGCGCYCTGCTCATCCGGGGCGCTGCTCTCCAATCCGGGAGCCTGCTACTTACCTCTTGACAACCACACCGGGTAACCCCCACCGCCTTGTTCAACGCCGCCSCCGTCGCCGCCGCCTCCGTCTTCGTCACCGTCGCCGCCGCCGCCGCCATGTTTGTTGTGTCTCCGATCCCTTCCCGCCCCCTGCCTTGCCCAAGTCTCGCGCGAGTCAGGCGCAGGGCGCCAGCGGAGGAGGGCACTGTTTGTCTCTCTTAGGGTTCCGTAGGCACGCGGGGGCGTCGTCTCCGGGGGTGTGTGAGGGGCGGGGCCCGGCTCGGCCCGCCCCCAGGTGGCGGGCGCGGGGCCAGAAGCGCAGAACCCGGCCTGCCAAGCCTTCTAGCCTGCGGYGGCTATGGAGGGCTCAGCTGTTCGGCTGCTGCGGAGCAGCGGTCTGGTAAGTGCGTTTGTGGCGAGCGTCCTGGGCCCCCGRGACGACAGTGGTCCCCGACGTCGTCGTCGTCGGGGTCTTCTAACAGGCTGGGACCCGGTCCAGGGCCCGCTCCTCGCTCGGACCGCTGGTCCCCTCAAAGCCCCCACCCAGGGGCGGATGCCCACCGCGACCTCGCCCCGCGCTCGGGCGGAGCTGGCTTCCGTTTGCGTTGGAGGGGCGGGGGTCCATCCCTAGCTGGGGTCGGAGCGCTGGCCGGGCAGGAGACCCTCACAGGCCACTGGTGAGAGGCAGCCAGACTGGTCTTTGACTCTCAGGTGCCCTAACCCGGCTTTCCCCGTGACTAATGACCCCGCTAAAAACAGGCCGGGTCGCGTTCGGGCAGCTGTCTCCTGCCTCCTCCGCAGCCCCGCCCGCCGGGTGGAAGGGTCCCGGGGGTCGGAGGGACCTGCCAGCCCGGGAGAGGATTCCCTCTGTCCGCGTCGCACGCKGGGCCTGCYGTCCTGCAGGGAAGGGCMCCCCAGGGCTCGGGGGAGCCCCTTCTGGAGCCGCTTCCCGAAGCCTCCCGTTGTACCTCCTGCTCTGGACCCTCGCAAAYTGCTCACTCCTCCGCATCCCTGTGTCGGGATTGGTACTTACACGTTGAACATCCCTGTCCTCCTCAGCCCTGTCATCGTATGACGGGTTTTCAAAAATCCTCACACGTTTGGATACCCTGGGTTTCTCAGTAAAGGTGGTACTTTGGAAATTTTCCCTCTGCTGATGGTTGCTTTTTATACTTCGTTTGCTTTTGCTTTAACAAATCAAAGGCTCTTGTATTGCTGCTTGTCTCTTTTGCCCAGAGGCAGAACTCTTTTATAACTTCATCTCACATTAGAGACAATTAATGTTATCTGACTATTTTATAAGCTCGTGGTATTAAGAAAATTAGTAAAGTCATATCAGTGTATTGTCACGAAGGAATACTGTTGAATAGTTCGCATGATTGCTGTTGAATAGTTTTATAACTGTTGACTAATAAAAGTTTTATGGGTTTCATGTTTTGAATCTGTTTTAGGGCCAAAAATAATGACCACATAATGTGTGCTCTACATGTTCCTGGTTCTCTGCCTGCTTCTGATCTCACTTAATTCTCAGAAATAACATAATAAGTACTAGTTAATCTTGCAGATGCAGATTGCGGAAATGAGTTAAGTGAATTCCCAAAGCTAGAAAGTGATAGAACTTGTGTTGAAACTCTGGTCTGATTAAAAACCCAACCTGCGTGCACTGCTGCCTCCCCTTCCTTAAWGTCAGGAAGCTAGCTATTTTGTTTAGATTTGTTGGTTTTATTGTGGTAATGGTCCTTCATAGTTTTCAGAGCATACATTACCATATATAATTGAATGCTGACTGTAGCATGATAGTTAAGAATGTGCATACTGTAGCCTGACTGCCTGAGTTTGAACCCAGGCTCTGTCACTTTCTAGTGGCAAAATCTTGGCCAAGTTTTTTMCTCTCTTTGATCTCAGTTTTCTGACTCTAAAATGGAAAGAATAATACTACCTACTCCCTAAGATTATTGTGAAGATTGAATGAGTTCATATTCTAAGGCTCTTAGAATAGTACCCAGTCTATAGTTGGCTTTTTTTAGTAAATGTTAGCTCTTATTCCAGGCATGAGGCTTTGTGTCCACGACACATGTAAGAAGGACTAAAACACCCTACCTTCAAGAAGTTTTATCTTTTCCTGAAGATTTTATAACTTTATCTAATTACATATTCATTTAGGTGTGAAACAAATCCTAAAGGGTCCATAGCTGGCCATGAGTTCAGAGGACAGAGTGATGAGTAGGAACCTTGAGCAAAGACAGACKCTGGTAGCTGGTTTTAGAATTTAGGAAGCTTAGGCGGGGGAGCTTTGTAGCAAATGGGGAGTGAAATGTACATTTTAAGGAATTTGGGGGTTTATCATTTTGAGTTGTGGAGAGCCACTGAAGGTTTAGAGCCTCAGAGGTACTTAATCAGARCTAAAGTGTAGTTAGCTGTGGTAGCGGGTGCCTGGAAGATAGAGAATTCAAGTTGGGGCTAATTTTGATCCCTATCCAGAGACAAGTGTTACTAATCAACAAAGTTAACACTGTTTTTTTTGGTTTGGTTTGGTTTGGTTTTTTTTTTTTTTTTTTTGCATCCAGGTAGAGAGAGCTTGGTAGGTGCCATGTTTTGAATTTGACTTCCAAAGTTCATTTGTTGCAAACTTGTTCCCCGGGGAGGTGGGGCCTGAGGAGGTATGTTTAGGTCTTGGTTCATTGCCCTCATGGATGGATAATGCCATCTTTGTGAAATKTTGTTCCTCTTGCTCCCTCTTGCCCTCTCACCTGCTGTGGAATGTCACAACAAGATGCCAGCGCCTTGATCTTGGCCYCTCCAACCTCCAGAACTTTGGGGAAATGAATTTCTGTTTATTTAAATTACCAAGTTGRTAGTATTCTGTCATAGCAGAACAAAAAGGACAAAGAAAGTAAGTTGGCAAACAAATTATCCTTGAGCAATAAGGGAGAAAAATAATCACAGGCTGTGTAATCAATCATGCTGCTTGAATTTAATCCTCTCTGCTACCTCTTAGCAAGATGACTTCAGACAAGTGACTTCCCCACTCTACTTCCATTTCCTTTTCTGCAAAGTGAGAGAACAACAGTATTAAGTGAAATAGTAAATGCTAAGTACTTAAGACACATAAATACTCAAAGCCACTAGCTAATCATACAGGCAGAACCCGTTACCAATAATACCATGAGGGAAGAGGCAGGGTGTCTTTGTCTTATTCGAAGTACTTGGACAGGTTTTGGAGATTTATAAGTTTACAACAGGGGCCTTGACATCAAGGAAATTACAGTTTTAATTGGGGGGATGGGATGTTAAAATGTGTGTGAAAATGAATACTGGGACAGTAGTGGAAGATAGCTAAGATGGCTAATGCTAATAGTATGGGCAAATGTGCTTATACGAAGTGGGGTTTGAACTGACCATCTAAAGAAGGAATTGCTTAGCTTTTATCCTGCTTTTAGTTGCCTATCAGGCATCTGCAGCCATACACAAGGCCCAAGTGAAGAGAGAGTGCTTTTAGGACAGCAGCCTCTAAGTTCKTGACGCAGCGTGTAAAGGAAAAGTAATTTAGGGTAATGAAAGGAAGRTGAGTAATTCTGTTTTAGACATGTTTAAAATGTTATCAACACCTTAAAAAGTATTTTGGAGGCTGGTCAGTAAATAGACCTGGAAAGTAGTAGGAAAATAGAAGCTAGAAATATAGATGCCAGAGCCACAGAGAGCTATGGGGCATCTGAGGGAGAGTAAAGAGGAGATGACAAGTCTGAGCCTTTGGAGTAGCATGCAGACCATTCTGAGTGAACATSGAAGGAAGGCAAAGAAGCAGGAGAATTAGTAGAATAGAGTTAGAGGAGACTTTGCAACAAATATATCATATTCAGAATTGGAGCAAAAAAGGAGAAGGATATTTAAGAGCAAAAGTACAAGCGGAATCTGTGTCACAGAAAGTAAAGGAAACAAACCAGTGAAGGACAGGGAGTTGTTTAGACACAGTAGGTCCTGCACTTGGAGCTGCTGGAATACAAAACAAGCTGGCTGTGAAACGCCTGCAGCACACCCTCCACTCAGCTTGGTATCCCCCTGACCCAGCAGACATTGATTGAGCAACTTCTGCTCTGGATTCCTGGCTTCCTGACTTCTAGTTAAGTGTTCTTTGTGCTACATAACCTGTCTTCCCTGAAAAGGAGGGTATCAAAGGAGTTCACAGTCCCCAATAAGGTGTTAGACCCAAATAACTTCATAAAAGTAATCCTATCATTTAAGATTTCTTTGGAAATAGAAAAAACGGAACATCTGGTGTCATTTTTGTACACTGGTGATTTAGGAATGAGAACTTGTTGGCATGGCCAGGGTTGTACAGAAAATAAACAGGTATTCTTTTTGTTAATTCCTGGGTACTATGCCCTGTCTTGGTTTGTTTAGTCCTCTTTTGAAGYAGTCACTATTATTTTAAAAGGTTGAGGGATTGTTAGGAAATTACAGAGATAAAATGAGGAGCCAGAAACACGTGGAAGGGAAAAAATTATACCATTTGTAGTTTTGGAGAATTTCAAGAGCAAAAGTCTCTGTTTTGAAGAAAGCAAGCAGAAGGTAGTGAGATTTTGGTGTGGAAATTTGGGCTTGGGGAAGTGAAAGCAGAGAAAGAGGCAACATAARTGGGGTAGGCAGCATTTCAACCAGATCCTACTGTGGATATTCCAATTTTAGTCAGAATTCAGTGGAAATTTGGAAGTTTGTGTAGAAGATTGGAATCCTTTAGCTATTGGGAGTCGAGAAAKGAACATTACATAATTTATTATTTTATCCCTAATCAGTGTCTTAAGAACTCCAGTGGATGCCTGAAACCAAACATAGCAGTGAACCCTCTATATGCTGTTTCTCCTATCTTATGTGCTTATGGTAAAYGTTGCCTTTTTACTTACAGAAGGCACTTTACAGCTTYTTTTTATCATACCCATATTTCTAGCCTTACTACTCTTGCACTTTGGAACCACAATGAAGTAAAATAAGGGTTACATCAACATAAACATTGTGATACTGCAACAACTAGTWGGGCAAGTGGAGAATACTGTGCTAAAAAACAGAGTTGTCCTAACACAATAACAACAAATCCTTATTGTTTCCCCTATTCCACTACAGTGGTGTCAAC